AGGCCTGTTTAAAACCAGTCCTACCACCTGTCCCCTTCAACCTTCTCAGGAACCTTCAGCACTGGTTACGCTTTCTCTTCTACACTCACTCTGCATCTTAAATAGATCTTCTCCATTATCTTGATACATACTCAGCTTTTTTTCTGTTTAAAAACTATACAAACAAACCCTCTTCCAGCGCTTTGTCCTTTAGTTGCCACTCTTTCCTCCCCAATCGCAGCCAATCTTATCTAGGATTGTCTTTACTCATTGTCTTTGTTTAATGACTTCTACTTCTGTCTTAACCAATTCCAAACTGAATTCTGCCTCCATCAATCCACAAAACAGTTCCTGCTGAGTTCCTCATGACCTTCATATTGGGCTTTTTTAAGGATTTATATCACTTGACCTTTCTCTGAATCTTGAGGATTTTGTTTTACTTCTCTGGCAACTGTTCTGTCTCTTATGTAGGATTCATCCTCCTCAACACAACTGTTAGATGTAGAACTTGCTTACAGATCAGTCCTAGGGCCTTTTGTCTTTCTGCTTATACTGACTCCCTGGACAGTTGCATCCATATTCACAACTGCAGTTGCTTCCTACTTACAGATAACTTACCACTCTCAGGCCTCCCCTCTTAGCTACAGACTCATCTACCCAACTGCTTACCTGGATATTTTCCTTTAGATGTCTCTAAGGCACTTCAAATTCAATGTATCCACAACCAAACTAGTGATCTCTTTTGACTCCAGATGTGGACCTTCATCCAGTGGGATTTAGTTAAGGTCCTTGTCTAATCTCAATTCACAAAGGGAAACTGTCATAAAATTATAATTTTCAAACACATTTTAAAAATCCTATTTAATAATTGTTTTCCAACTTTAATGCATTATGGTAAGAAACCTTTACTATCTGTTGTTTGATATTCATTGAGACTAGTTTCAGGCCTACTATATGTTTAATTTCTGCTTATGTTTCATATGTACTTGTAAAGAATGTTGTGGCAGATTGCATTTTCCAAAGGTGGTCACATCAGCACATTTATCCAATCCTGTGCTTTTCTTACAGTGTAACAGACACTCCGTCTTTGAGGGGGGCAAGGCTGTTGTTCTCTTTCTTTTAGTCTGGGTGGGGGTTTGTGACTGCCCTGACTAGTGGAGTGCAGTGTAAATGGTGTTATGTGATTTCTGAGCCTAGGTCATAAAAAATACAGCTTCTGTTTGTCTCTCTCTCAGAACTCGTCTTTGGAACTCAGCCACCATGTTGTGAGGAGACTCAAGCCACATGGAGAGGCCACATGGACGTATTCCAGCTGCTAGCCCTAGCTGTGGTCTCAGCTAACTCTGAGCAACAACTGGCAGATATGTGAGGGCATGAGTCTTCAGATGATCCCAGCTCCTAACTTAGATATTTGAGGGCATGAGACTTCACATGATTCCAGCCCCTGACTTTCTAGTCTCCTAGCTAAAGCCTCAGGCTTTATGTAGCATACAGAAAAGCCATCCTGCTGAACCCTGCCAGAATTCTTGATCCATAGAAACCGTGAGAGATAATAAATTCGTACTTTTATTTTTAAATATCTAATTTTTGGACAATTTGTTGTATGTCGATAAAAAATGAATATAAATACTTTCTCTTCTGTTATTGCTAACTTCAATCATGCCTAACAATAACTTATTTCCATCAGCTTTTTTTTGGTTCCTATTTCCTTGGTGTGTACTTATCCACACTTTTCTTTTCAAAACTTATGTTTAAATTTGTTTCTTATAAACAACACATAGCAAGATTTTAAAACATTTGTTTTGATAAAATTTTAACAGATGTACTTACCCTGATTCCTGACACAGTTGGACTGTGTTAAAATATTTTCTTTTGTATTTTCTATTCAGCGTGTTTTCCTTTGCTTCTTTCTCCTTTCCATTTCAATGTTGTATGGAGAATCGATTGTATTTTCTTTACTCCGTGTTGTTTCCTCTATTGATTTGGAAATTTCTATTCTTTTGGTTATTACTCTTATATGTTTTAAAATTCGGAAATAGAGCATACATGCAAAATAATTTGTGCAAGTATACATATACAGTTTAAAGAAAATAATAAACTGATTGTCTAGATGCCTCTTTCTAGGCCAAGAAACAGAGCATTACCATATTCTAGAATCCCCCTTATCCCTTTCACATATTCCATCTCCTCTCCCGCTCTCAAGATAAAGATAGCCGGAATTCTGTGTAAATTTCTTCCCTTTCTTTATTTTGTTTTGTACCACTTACAGTTTATATTCAAAAACAACACAGTATTTATTTTTGTCTTTTTGAATGTTATACAAATAGAATAATATGCATAGCTTTCTGTGACTCACTTGTTTTGTTTTACATCATATTTTGAGAGGTAGCTATGTTGATGTGGGTAACTGTTTCATTGATTTTTCAAAGTTATATAATATTGCATTCTAAGAATACATAAAAAAATGTGTTTATCATATTGCTGATAGATGTTTGGGTTGTTTTCTGTATTTTTTGCCATCCTGGCAATACTGTTGTAAACATTCTACAAGTCTCTGTGAGTACGTGTGCAAGGGCCTCTTTGGTTATATAGACAGATAAAAAAATGCTGGTTATCCTTAACAAGTTAATCAGTAGTTTTAATGCATATCTTTAATGCCTTAAGTAGTATTTCTGTCCTCCTCCTAAACAATTTATTACCCCCTTCTTTATTCCCTATGATTGTGATAAACCACTCAGTTTCACTTTATTGGCAAATCCTAAAAATTGTTTTGTTTTTTTACAACTAGGGCTTAATAATTATTAATCAATACCCATTACTTATTGTTAAAGTTACTAGATTTACCATCATGCTTACTAATTTCTCTGTTCACTATTGCTTCTTGTTTCTCACTCCTTCCTTCTGCGATAAATTCCCGCTTATTCAAGCATATCTTATTTTAGTATTTCTTTTGGCAAAAGTAAACTATTGTGAGCACTGAACAATCTTTTTTTTTTTTTTGAAAAGTGTTCCTATTTACCTATTGTTCTCTATTATTCTTGAATGATGGGTTTAGTATGGGCATATAATTTTTTCTTTTTTTTTTTTTTTGAGGAAAATTTCTCTCTTGTTGCCCAGGCTGGAGTGCAGTGGTACAATTTCAGCTCACTGCAACCTCTGCCTCCTGGGTTCAAGCAATTCTCCTGCCTCAGCCTCCTGAGAAGCCTTGATTACAGGCACCCACCACCAAGTCCAGATAATTTTTGTATTTTTAGTAGAGACAAGGTTTCACCACATTGGCCACGCGGGTCTCAAACTCCTGACTTCAGGTGATCCGCCCACCTTGGCCTCCCAAAGTGCTGGGATTACAGGCGTGAGCCACAGTGCCTGGCCTGTTGCTTTACTTTTATTTTTGCTGATGACATGTTCTTTTGCCAGAAGTCTCTTTTTTTTTTCCCTCTCTGGTTGACTTTATTTTTATCTCTGGTGTTCTGTGGTTTCATCCTTATGTATTAAAGTATGCATTTGCTTTTATTTATCTTTTTGAGATATTGGTATACTTTTTCAAGAGAACTCATGTCGTTCATTCTAGAAACTCTACATCCATTATATTTTTATATTGGCTTTTTCTCTTTCTTTTGAACTTGGCTATATATGTGTGTGTGTGCGTGTGTGTATTTATGTGTGTGTATATGTATATACACGTGTGTGTATATAGGCACATATGTATATACATATATGCACATATGTATAAATACACACAGATATATGTATTTTAAATCATCATTGTATTTGTTTAGCATTTCTGTGTTTGGAGTGGAAAGGGATTCAGCTCAATCTCCACGTTATCAGATTATTAATCTCTTAGATTTCACAAATGCAATATTATACTATTTTATCAAGTATTCTCCAAACTATGTTTCTTCTAAACTCATTTGTAATCCGTGTAACTCAGGGGGAAGGAGAAATTTCTGATGCTGTCCCATAGAAGGGACTTATCTCCTGCATTAATAGTCTAAGATTTACATCTTAGCCCATAAGTCTGACCTGTTCTTTGGTGGTCATGCATCAGTGGTAATGCATTCTTTGGTGGAATAGAGGGATGTGGAGGGAAACAGTCCAGTAAGAGCTAAAACAATCCCGTAAGATATCGAAGGAAAAAAAAAGAACCATGGAAAAACTATGGTGTAGTTTTCTATCCCCAACTACTGTACCTTTCAGAGATGTTAGGACCTAGCCAAAAATGAGAGAAAGAGACATATTCCCATTACTAGTGACTACAGAGGCACCTTATGAGTAAGGTTGGATGATTAAAGAACCAGCTTCATGAAACCGTAAGTTATTGCTGTTGTTTTGCAGATCTTTTGTCACATTGACTTGCGTGTGGTCAGTGCATAGTATTTATGTTTTGATCACAGAAAGCTGAAGTTAACAAGATTTGATTCGAAATGTCAAGTTGTGGCTTCCTTTGTTTTGTGAGTTTCTTCTGAGAGAAGGCTGCAGTCTACGTACAGAAAGGATGATTGTTCCTGTAAGCATGCACACATATACTTATGGAACAAGTGGTGAGGTCTATATTAGAAGGACCATGCACCTCATATAAATGGAATAAGTATCACTAAGTGAAACTTTTTCAGAGAAATGGAAATAGAACATGCAAGAAAGATGACAAAAAGAAATAAGAAAATAAAATGCTTAGTCAGATTGAGTATGTCACTCTCGTGTTTAATTTGATTTTCATCTCTTTACTTTATAAGCTGTTCCCATTCTGTTGAGGAGTTCACACTCCAAAAGATTTGACTGTAGATTTGGCCAAGGTTTGTGTGCTTCAGTTCTGGGTAGATGTGTGCACCATTTTCAGTTTCTGACTGTCTTTTTTTGGCCTCTTGTGCGGGAGGTATGAGGCACAAGTTTTATCAATGGTTTATTTGGCTAGCACCATATACCATGGCATATGGAAATTCTATTTAGAGACATGGGGAGAAAACGTTTGTTGTTTTACTCACAGACAACTCTGTCTTTCATTTTTTATCTCTTTGTAGCTTTGAAGCTCAGCAAAGAAGAGAAATCCATTGAGAACGGTCTGTAAAGGTAAGTGTATTTATTACATGGCCTTGACAAACATTGCCTTTACAACATTGATTTTTCTTTTATTCAGAGATTTAAACACTTGGACTAAAGATATAGCTGACAGGACAACTTCCTTAACCACCTGCTTGTCCTCCCTCTTAGGCAAAAGTGCTGAGCAGTAGTTAGCAGAGAGCAGGAGGAAATAAAATGATGTGTTGAGAGTAGACAAATGCGATTGTATGCTTGCTGACTTTTGCTTTCTTCTCAGCAGTTAAGACATTCCAATGGAGCTAAGTTTACTATGATTAATGCTAGATGGAAAAAGAATGCACTTGTACTACTTCTGGCCAATAGTTAAATAAAACTAGCTGGCCAAATAAAGCATTTAAAATAAAATGCAGAGTGGCATTTCAATTGGGTTGGATGAAATTTATTACAAAAGTCAGTTGTGCAGTTGCATGGAAGATCTAGTTTTGTAGAAAGAAAAGAGCCACTGAATTTGGTGTATCTAATTTCATTCCACCCAGTCACTCTGAGCCCTAAATGAATTACAGGAAATGAACTTCCAAGCTTGAAGCAATGGGAAAAGTACCTACTCGGCCTCTTGTGAAACATTACAATCAAGTTGGTTTTTACATGGAAAAATGTAATTGTTTCCTCTTTGCTAGGTATATTTATAAGCATACCTCTGTACAGCATTGTTCTTTGATTCATTGTTTAATTTCTGTTCTGCATGAAGTATTTTAATTTAAAGAATTCATTCTGGGCAATTATAGGGCTGCAGCTTCATCAAGAGTCTTTGGTGGCCAGGGTGAAATATGCTATAATTTTACATTTGTTTTCATCATAAATTACGTTTTTGACACTTTTAGGGTTTTTTCTGTCATTTTTATTACAGCAATCATAACTATGACCACTTTAGTTAAAGTTGAAAAGTCATTTTGATTTACCTTATATTTTAAGTTCTTACTTCTTGACAAATCTACTTCTGGGGCTGAATTTTTCATGTTTATTTGGAGGGCAAAGAAGAATTTTACAGGGATATTGGAGAAACACCTTTTAGATAATCAAAATATGAGTTATAAAAAAAAATCCTCTTTTCTTAGGATTTGCTTTGGGGCAACTAAACTCTAGTGCATGAAAACTGGTTGGCTTGGAATTTTGCCATGATGGTTGAACATCATTGAAGAAAATACTATCTTAAGCAGTAGATAATTCTTATTTTCGGCCATATAACTACATGTCTCTAGACCGTTGAGCCACACCTTGGAATAAAGAAATACTTGATAGCTTTTAGAAATAAATGCTCATAAATAATTGGATTTAGTGGTGATGTAGCCATCTTGACAACTTTGTAATCTTTTGGCACAGATATGATGTTTCCTTTTCTCTTGGGGGATGTTTCCACACAGGCACAGTCCATTTTCTCTACTCTCAATGGAACTCTTTTGTTGAATTGGTACTCTGGAATCAGACATGGGTTTAGTCATGATTTGGCTTTTACTAGCTATTGGACTGCGGACAACTTACTCACCCTCTTAGAGTCTCAGTTTCCTGATCTGTGAAGTGGGGATAATACTGTTTTTGGCTTCATGTAGTTGTGGAGAATTAAATGAAGTATTCTGTGCCAAGGGCTTAGAAGAAGTCCTGGCCCATGATAAGTGCTCAGTAGATGTGAGCTGCTGCTCCTCTAATTAATATCATCATCATCATCATCAGCAGCAGCACCCTTATGAATTTATTCATTATATATTTTTGTAAGTCTATTCATTTTAGAAGCTTCAGGATAATATTTCTAAAATAAGCATGTTGTTACCAAAGAAGGGAAAATTCTGCTTGGTCCTTAGGAATCAAGTGAAAAGGTAACTTTCAGGTAATATAGGAAGCGAGGCCTCTGGAAGTGAAAAAGTTATTAGGCTTTAGGTATGTAGGTATTAGGAAAACTACCTTCTTTCGTTGTCATCAATTACTAATTAATAGTCTTGAGAAATTAGGAATCTACTGCTGTTTAGCTTCTTCAAGAATTTTTAAAGAAAGCCTTGGTAAGTATAGAGAGAACCCCCTCAACCAACTTTTTGTGTGTGTGTGTGTGTTGTGTATATGTTTTTCCTTCCTAACAGCACCTTTATTTCTTTTTGAGGTAATTAGGCTAGTGGAACTGTAACCAGGGTCCCTACCCAGGGGCCTGCACCCAGCCTATGGATGGGTGTATGACCACAAGCTTGGCAAAGTAAATGCTTCTTCTTTGGAATCTGATTCTTTAGCTAAAGGATTCTCCCTTGTCCTAGATGGGCATTCTGATCTGCCAGTATGTACTATGAGACCACTGTTGCCTCCATGTCTGTTTTGGCTAGTCATGACCTCCAAACCTTATTTTCCATTCTGCTGTGGATTGGCTGAGACTCCAATATCCTTCCAATAATTCTTAAATTAGCCAACTGGTTTCTGCTGCTTGCAACTACAGAACCCTAACTGATAGTATAGTCTATTCATTAGTGAGCTAGATTTGGAATAAATATGGTATGTTTGCAGGTTTACAATTAAAATGCCACTCATTACTTTCTTTCATCATGTTTAAGTAGCTCAGTGTTTTGCAGTAGATTACAAAAGGTACAGAGTTCTTTATTAGAATCTCAAAAACGGGTTATTTTGCTGAACTTCCCAGTACTCCTGTGTTTGGTACAGGGAAGTCACTCTTGGCTGCTTCTCTTAGCTCTCAAAGAATGTATATGTATGTGGGAGTAGAGCTGGAAATGAGAAGAGAAGCAGCGAAGTCATCCCTCCCAATTTCTGGGGCCCTGGTCTCTTTGTGTCATGGGGATTGTGAAGGGACTGAGATTTTCTTCTGTTTACCCCCAGCAACCCCAAACACAACAGGTATATTCTTTAAACACTTTTCTACTTTTCCCTGAATTTTTATTTCTCCTTTGAATACTGTTCTTACCCTACTGAACACCTTCTTTTCAATGATGTGTAAAATGTGATTGAAAACTCAATTACTTCCCGTTCTGGCATTGCTTGTGGAATGGAGAATGAGAATGGAATGGGAAAGTTTTCTCTATTTCCCCTTGTGTCTTATTTGTTGACTACTTCTGTGCTCTGTGCAGTGCCCAGAACAAAACTAGTTAATTTTTTTTTTTTTAACAAGGATATCAATGTTGCACTCCTACTGTGAATAAATAGCATGACAGTATTATATGGTGGGAAGAGCCTTAGCTGGGGTATTAGGAAACATTCCTTCTAGTTTTGACTCTGCCATTTGCTAGCTTTGTGACTCTCTGCAAGATTCCCAGTTTTCTTTAAGATCTCAGGTTCCAATCCCAGCACTTTGGGAGGCCGAGACAGGCGGATCATGAAGTCACAAGATCAAGACCATCCTGGCTAACCCTGTCTCCACTAAAAAATACAAAAAACTAGCCGGGCGAGGTGGTGGGCACCTGTAGTCCCAGCTACTCGGGAGGCTGAGGCAGGAGAATGGCGTGAACCCGGGAGGCGGAGCTTGCAGTGAGCTGAGATCCGGCCACTGCACTCCAGCCTGGGCAACAGAGCTAGACTCTGTCTCAAAAAAAAAAAAAGAAAAGATCTCAAGTTCCTCACCTGTAAAATGAGGATTTGCCCTATTTATTGCGCAGGGCTGTTTTGAGGATCACATAAAGACAATATATATGAAAGTGCTTAGTAAATTTTAACAAATGCATAACATCAGCATATTGCTATCATGCCATGAATATTTCTTAAACAGATGAAAATTTGAGGGGCTTGTTTTAGGAGGCTGAGTAGGAAAAAGAGACAAATTAACAACGATGACAACAACAACAACAACAACAACCACCACCACCCTGTATAGTGCCTGTGCTGGGTATTCATTTGTGCTTCCAGCTCCTCTCTCTTCTAAACAGCTCTGCACCAAGGGCCTAACCTCTATCGCAGGCATTTCCTGGGCTCCCTTGTTGATTGGCTTTCTCTTGTATTAGCTAGGGGAAGGAACTGGATGAAGACCTGGGAGCACGAGGCTGAAATATTCTTCCCTACTTTCTTCCCTGCAGCACTGTGGGTTGGCAATGACTGTATCCCTCTAAGGAAGGCCACGGTTCCTGTTGGGGATCTCTCTTCTGCAGATACAGCTCTTTCCACTGTCTGGTAACTGCTTCTTCCCTTTGCCCCTTTGAGTCTGGAGTGTTAATGGAATTTTTGCTAACTCCAGCACACTAGACCATCCCTTAGTGGTCTTCCCTTAACCCTACCTTCACCCCAGGTAAAGATGTCATCTCCTTCTTGCTGCGACCTTGATTGTACAAAGGAATTTTTTCTTTATATATTTTTCCACCATCCTCAGCTGAATTCAACAAATATATTTTTAGGATTTAGAGTGTGCCAGGGAAAAAGTAAGTCTTTATCGTATACTTTTAAGAAATGGACATTTTAGTGGCATAGTTGGAGATATTATATCATTTTTTTTAAAGCAAGTTTTGGTAAATTGAAAAGCTTTATATTAACCCCAGTATATAAAGAAATACCATATTGTACTTATATGCATTATGAATTACCTTTTACCTTTTATTTTTATTTTTATCAAAGCAATGTATCTAAATTGTTTACATAAAACAGCATTAAGAAGCAAATATTTAAAAACTGCAACATCTATGCCTTCTTTCTACCTCTCTCTGGATTGCTTCCCCAGAATTAGCAACTTTCTACTCTGATATTTCTGGTGTTTACCCCTCTCTTTCTAAATAATGTACTTATGTTATTTTTTCCTAATTTATCAATTTTAGCAATAGCTCTCTGATCCTTTCCACTCCCACCACTTCTGATCCCCACAGCCTCCTGACATAGTTATATTATAATTTTTATTTAAATCAACAGTTAATATTTACATTATCATGATTATGTAGTTTTTTTCTACTGCTAAGCCAAATGGTATTTGTTATGTTTTCTTTAATATAAATTTTTTTGTCTTTCTTGGAATTAATATGTGCTTTTAAAAAATTTGCCTACTTTAGGCATCTACCTTATAAGGT